AGTAGAAATAAGTCCTACATATGTTGTTGTACTTCGTATTGGTTTAAAATTCATGTAGAGTATGAGACATTAAGTGAAAGTTTTCTGAGGTACATCTGCAATTGTCGGAAGGCAAAAATAAATAAATTGAATTGATTGGTAGAGTTATTCACGTCGCCATGAGGGTGAACGGGGTCGACAAGAGCGAAACTAGCGGTGATTTTGACGTCTTGGACGTTCTTGATGCGGAACATGGTTCGATACGAACTACTGTAGCCGAGTCCACACACATGCCGAGGTAAGAATGGCTTGTATCATCCCTACGGCATCGTTTTAGGTAGAGATGATGGGCACGCGTCGATTGTCTGAGCTTGCCGGAAGTGCGACTGATGATGGCATCGTCTTCGTCGTCGTCAGAGTCTTGGTTGTCGTGTAGGGCTGGTTGGTGCTCTTCATCTGTGTTTTTCATTATACATACATATATAGCAGCAGAGCTTATGACGCGTACATCTTGATTGAAGTATGTTTTTTTTACCGTTCTTGTGTTTTCTTGCCCGTTTTAATCCAATTCAAGATTTCGGCGCGTCAATACCCACAAATGTTGGGAACATTGACACAACAGCACAATAGTTGGTACAACTTTTGCCACGCTTGTTCAACAGATGACAGTGGTGTAGTCTACAGCATCAACCTGCCTGCGACAGATCACATCCTCCTGCAGAAATATAACATCCATCCGTACATACACGTTGTGTATCTATCTGTACGTACGTACTGCGCACGTGTACCTACAGACATACATACAGACACACAAGTGTCTGTGTTGTATACCTATAGCACAGGCCGTCGTTCGTACGTATGGATACGTGTCTGTAACCACGCCAACGGAATGTCATCTTGGCAAATTTGTGCAGCGGAATCAACTTTCAACTCGAATCTCACCGCATGTATGTGTCGTTAGAATGATGAGTCTTTGTGTGCGTGTATTTATTTTTTATTTTATTTTTCCAAATACAACACAACGAGTCCATCTCCGTCAGAGAAAAGAGTCAAAGACAGATTAGCAATGGAATCATAGCGTCAAAGAAAACTACCTGTTGTGTGTCCACGATTTCCCAGACAGCTGTGAGGAAGCGTCAAAACGTCAAAAAAACTGAAAGCGATGCCAAAAGGTTGCCGCTTCAAATATCGCCAGAATTGCACACACACGCTTGCTCTGTGCTCTTAATTGTCACCAAATCACGAAAGGAGCGCCGTCAGCAGCGAACACACTGATTTGACCATGCCTCCCTACTGATTGCTCCTAGCGGTCCTGCACACACGCACGCACGTCTTGGCGAGTTCTCACGGCGGCCAAGTGGCCAGACTCTCGTGTTAGGCGCGCGCATTCGGTAGGTGCGCTGTCGGGATTGCGCACCGGCTTTTAGCAGCAAAAAGAGGCTTATAGGCAGTAATCGGGGGAGTCCCGCCCTCGAAGGGAGCACAGATAGAGGAGTAAGGGAGGGTACACGGACTTGGCCGGTCAGAAGGTGCATCTCGCCCGCCCCCTCACGGGGTTCAGTGCTCTGCTGCTGCAGTGACATCGGTACACAGCAGTGCAGCGAGCAGCTGCCTCATCCGCAACATACAACATATTCGCCTGATTGAGAGCGAAGTATCTGATTGAGAGCGAGAGCCAAAAAAATTGAAATTTCGGGTCCAGACGCCTCTTGCCATTTCTTGGCAAGTAGGGGACGGGCTATTCCAAGAAGCGGTGCAAATTGAAGG